CCAACGAGTCCTCCAACGAATCCAATAGACGATCACTCAATTGTTTGCCCGAAGTGTGAAAAGTCATACTTACATTAATATACAATTAGTGCTTAATTGTTACTTAACCCTTAAAGCGCATCGTGGCACACGTTTGTAAAGTTGTGTGTTTAACAATTATTAAAAAATTTATTATAAGCTCTAGCTAATAAATATTCCAGGAATGCCTCACAAATGATAATCTATAAATATTTGTAAAATTGTATAGAAATTAGATAATTGTAATTATGATTAAACCTTGATTTTATACAAAATAGTGTCATAATGCAAGATACGTGAGTTTATTTTTATTGCATAACCAGCACTAACTAATGTACATGTATTACGCGCAGGTATAGTGAGTGTTTATATTTTATATACTTTGTCTGCATCTTGGCACTATTTTGTAAATGGATCAAAATTCTTTATAATATCGATTGTTGGGAAACAAAAATGTTGATACTTTTAGCGCATTCGTATTATTTGTTTACGTGATATGTCTTTTCCTTTCATATTGCATTCTTTGTTTGAATACTTGATTGTGTGGACATGTGGTTAAAATACAGTTAAATTGTCCAATTTTATTGTGATTTTGTGTTCCAGAACCGGTTCAGCCGTGTGTTTGTGCTTTATTGAGCACAGGTATAACTTTATCTGTATGTTAGTGTCATTAAGACTGCCGCTATAGCTGTGGCCGTATGTTTGCATTCAATTGAGTACCAATATACCAATGGTCAACGAATTTACATTACGGTGACCAAAACACGTTTTTAATGAGTTTAGGCCTTTTTGTTGACCTAACAGGATTTATTACTGTCCAATTAATAGAAATTTCATTATATGATTATCACAATATGTATGTCCATCTAATACAAATTTATTTAATTAAATTGTAATTAGATTTATATTGCTTATTGCTGATCTATATAATCTACAAGTAAAGCAAATAGGCTTTCACTAATAAAATGATTAATTGTTTAAAATTGTCACAACATGTTTATTATATTTTGCAAAAATGACAAATGGACTATAAATCAATAAATAATATACAATGTATTTAAAACAACAATATTTTGTTTGCTATTATAAGGAATATTATTTAATGTATTACATTTTTACAAATAATTATTCAACTAATATTACTAACTTTACATAAAAAAATTAAAAACATAGTACAGTTGAGTGGTTATTACAAACACTATAATATCATTACAATAACGTTTCATATCATTTGTTTCTAATTTTGTGAGCAAATTTTCATGTTTGCAAATTGTATTGCAATTGAATCTAATTGTCTTCTCAGTTCATCTGTTTGTGTTGTAATAATGTTTTGAGTCTTTTCAACGGCTTTTGATGAAGACTCCAACAAATCAAATACAGGCAAAATTACATCGAAGTATTTGGCATTATGTGCAACTGCATTATACCATGTTCCCCAACGTGTAGTGACAGGTTGTGGCGGTTGCGGAATCTCTGGACATATACTTCGATAAATTACTTTGTTCTTAAAGTTCTTTGTGAAGCACTTCTTACTATTCGAAATGAATTCGTTGACTAAAGGAAATTCATCACGAATTGATTCCGCTACGTTATGAAGTGCGTGATTAAGACAAGTCATGTAAATAAGATTTGGGAACACAGTTTTCAAGTCTTTTCCGGCTTTAACCATATACGAACTCCTATCGCTAAGAAAGAGCACAAACTTTTGCGAAATCAACTCAATTTGAGTGCAATAAAGCATAAATTGTGCAATAATTGTTTCATTGACTGTCAGATAATTTGTTTCTGTTAAGTATTCTGATTCTAATAAATAATGCTCATCTTGTTCTCCGCCAAGAATGCCAACAATAATATTAATCAAGTGGTTTCCCGATGAATCAGTTGTCTCATCCGCTTGAATCCACAAATAATTATTTAAAAATCGATTCTTAATTTTGTCTCTAATATCTAATTCGATAACATTTGAATATTTTCTTAATGTTGTCTCACACGGTTGTTTTATGTGTGTGTGTATTTTTGCAGAAATAATTGAAACATTTTATTTCTCATTTTATACAGCGGAATATCAGTTGCTAATAAGGCTTCGGCTAAATCATAATAATATTGAGTTTGATCTGCAACTGAATTCGGAGACAATTGAGGACTAGATTTAATGACTAAATTTGATTGATGTTTAACAGTCTTCATGTGGTCTTCGATTGTTGAAGACTTTATACTCATGACCTGATTGCAAACATCACAATAAAGTTTATCATATTTGCAAATTAATGGATAGCCATATTTTGCTAAACGCCTGTTAATCACTAATTGATCATTTGATTGTTCTGTTATTGGGTTTTGTTGAGCCATAGTATTGATTGGAACGGTTGATGCTGGAATCATACAATCAGACCGCCTCACTAGCTGACAAGACCTCGTAGGGCGTGAGCACCCCGGTTGGCTGCTAATATCTTTATTAGAATTTTCCGCCATCATGGCATTTGCATAACTTTACCGAGAACTTAGCCCGGTATACACCTGTTTCTACCATGACAAACGAAGACGTGTTCTCGTTACGGAAAATATTTAGTGCAATTAATGTTCATAATTATTATTGAATTATGTCCAACTGAATTGAAGTTATATTGAATTTTTTACAATAAGATTCTTGAATGGGATACGCAATGACACAGTCTTTGTCGGATCTAACTTTCAAATTAACGGTTTATGCAGTTTCTCAACCGCCATTAGCGTAAAGATTTAATAGCTTATGGAGAGAACACTCTCCGGCTTGGACGAGTTTCTCACCCGCCATTAACGTAAAGACTTAAGAGCTTATGAAGAGAACACTCCCCGGCTTGGACGAGTTTCTCACCCGTCATTGATGTGTTGTGTTTTCAATGTTTTGCACAGAGTGTTGCATTTGTCATGAAAATAAATAAATGACTCATACTGCAATATACATAAAAATCATGACTGGTTGGCTTACTATTGGGTGACTCATTTTACTCGTGGGGCGACGGAAGGGCTATCTATACCATGTTTGCGTTTTTTGGCTGCACTATATATGGCTTGCATACATCGATCATGATATATGAGCGCCGCCGCCAATTAAAATTTATCAATGTGATTCGTGGTGCACAGTCCGGCCTACGCAGTGAATTAAACATGTTAAGTCCCAAATATTTTAACAAGTTTTGTTTAAAAGTCAAATTTTACACCAAGATTATTTGGCCAGCGCTTGTAAGCTGTACAATACCGCCAGTGGCCGCCCATATATTCACATCAGTGTTGTGTTACATGGGCTACAATGGTGTTTACAACCACTCACTTATCGCATATATCGCCGCCAACCTGTCGATGGCCGTATGGATAACAGAGGCAACGGTTATGGGTTTTGCGTTGGTGTTTGTATCGCAAGTGCTGACCATTGATTACATGAAGTATATATTTCTGAAAAGCGGTTAAGCATTGATTGCAACAAATTTAGGAAAAACTCCTAATCAGTGGGCCTTTCTATAGGAAAAATGACTTTATAAATTGTCCCTCTACGTTTATTAACGATTTATATTTAAAACAAAAATAGACGTGTCTACGATTAATTACCCAACCAATTTTTCATGCTCTATTGATCGGTGAAGTCAGAAAATTTTTATGTAATTTAGTTTTAGCTGAGTAAATTTTGCTTAATTGTATAGTTAAAAACGTAGCTAGGTTATTAAAAAAAATTATATGTTGTGCGTCCCGAGATTCCATATCTGTAAAAAAAATTTGATCTTGATAACTTTAGAACCACGTCCGTTAAAAAATTTTAAAGCCCAAAAGACTTAATTTTTGTCACTGTATATAAATACAATAATAAATGTAATAAATAATATTGTTCAATTGGACTTTGTTCAAATGAAATGATTGTGTTGAGTGTTTTGTTTTTTTAAAATTATTTTACTTATATAAAGTATTAAGATTTTAATCTATATGTTTTCAAAATAGCAATTGTTTCTTAAGGATTTAGATAACAGATATAACAATTTATCACATTCAATTGTCTTATAATAGTAAATTTGTTATGGAATATTATGGCCTTTAAGGTGGGGACTGCTGTTTACCCGTTGGTGGTGTAGATGGTAGAGACTTGTGAACGGTGAACAGGCGTTGGCCACTGATAGGACTTCTCAGAGTAGAAGTCCTCTTACCGTTAATTGACTACAATTAGTAGTCTTGTTGTCGCTGTTGAGTCTTCGGGTTTTTCTGGACAATCCCTATGGTTTGCTGCCTTTTGAGGGCTCGTAGGAGCGGTCCTGTGTCCCAATTGTTAAGGACAAAAGACCCACAATAAATACACGCGGTATTTAAATATGAAATACTTTTATTTTAAGGCAACAAAACTGTTTGAGGGATACATTAAGACTGAATGCATTTTATAGCCTTTCAATACAATTTGGATATTATTACTCATAATGAGATTTCAAACATTAATAATTAGCATAAAACAGAAGTCATTATTCATGTGTTGAGTCAAAGTAAGTATTTTTCCATTACTAGTGATCTATTCATCACAAATTTACTTTGTTTTTCTAACTAATAAAATATTTGAAAAAGTTAACTCATGATAATTTCTCGATAGAATGGAATTTTCAAAATTTCTTTTTACTAAAACTATCAGCATTTAGTGTAGTATTTAAAATATAATTAATTATATTAAAATCACATTTTATTTTTCAGTCCCATAGGATAACATGCAAAAAATTGGTACTTTTTGTTACTCTGTAATGTGAAAACCCATAATCCAATCATGGTGGTTCTAACTAATAATAACACAGTCACACCTCCTTTATTCAACCTTGATCCCCACCCCGCTCTCTAGTCAACACATTAGCAAAAAACCATTGGTTTTGGAAAACATATATATTTTCAAAAAAAAGTTACGTGACAACAAAAATTTTCAAAAATGTCAAAAAATTGCACAAAATGGGTCTATATTAATGTGTGAAATTACACCATTGTCACTCTAGTAGTTCCAGAGTAATCACCAAATGAACCGTGGCAAATTTTGGAAACCCCTTATATTTATGGGGTCTAGTCTGGGTCCACAACTATTTATTTATATTTTTAATTATCTTAATATTTTTAGATATTAATGCTTTTGCAATATTTAATTTATTATTAAGTATTCCAAAGAGAGATTACAAATAAAATTAGTTTTAAATTGTAATTAATGCCAAACATTGTATTTTAAATAAAAATATAATAAATAGTCCAAAATGTAGACAAAACCGAATTTATTTAGTATAAAACTTTTGACAAAAGCGCTGATGTCTGACAATTCTCTCGTCATTGCGGGTCAATATCGAGCGCTTAGGTTTTAGACAATTTACCCACATCATAGCATCCGAATCAATCTATAAACAATATACAAAATTACATTGATCCGTATTAATTTACAAATTTTATTTAATTCAACCTTCACTAATAACCTGATGCAAACATTCTTTGTTATACATAAAAGTGTAGTTTAATATAATTGCTAAAATTTATTAACAATAATCTTAGTTTTTATCAACAAATAAAGTGCATAACATACCTGAATATGCACCATATATTTCAATGCTATAAAACATAGCTTGTTGAAAATATTTGACTTGTAAAATAACATTGCTCTGATCAACGTTTCACCATGCTGCAATGGAACAACAGTAGCCAACAATAATACGGTGCTCAACATTGAGTCCTCTGTTCCAAAGTATACCAATTCAGTCACTGGTGACACGTGACACAGTTTAATGGGTACAGTGACCACTTCCACGCCAAATAAATAGATGGTCATTCTACCGATGATTGTAGAATCAGTGCAATTAGTGCTATCAAATGAAAATGTTGAACTAATTATGTATGGTATGATCATCTCGTGTACGTAATAAAAGTGCTGTATGTCAGACGCATTTTCCCCTAAAACCTATCACAATAAAAACATATAACTAGTTATCCATATTATTGTTAAAATTATTTGATTTATTAAAAATCAATAATATAATTTATTAATATAAAATTTCAATAGGAATTTGTTATAATACTTATTTATATTTTATTTTATATTTAAACTATTGTATATTATGTTAAATTAAATTATATTGAACATAAAAGATGACAAATTAACGACAATTAATGTACCTGATAGTTACACTGCATAATTCTGAAAGTACTCCATATTAGTGATAGATTGTGATTGTTTTTTCCAATAAAATCTTGGGGGTAGTGATCAGGTTCCGAGTTTTTCAAGTGGTGCCAAACATATATCACTTCATTCATCTCTATTGTCTGCCATTTCTTTACCACAGCTTTCACTGTATTTAACTCAGACTCTATGAAAAAAGTTTAAATAGTTTTAATAATTATTATTATTTTAATCAGTAGTAATATTTATAGACATACCGTTGAGATTAGGTATGCGTTTGCACTGTCCGTCTCTTCCTCTAAACCTCCAGCCATGGAATGGACACTGAATACAGTCGTCGCCCGATTCAGTCACCACATGTCCGCCGACACCGAGATTTGCGCCCAAATGTGGACAATAGGCGGACAACACGTTCACAGCACCCGATCCACCCCTGAATGCCACCAATTGTTTGCCACACATTTCAAAGAATTTCACACCATTGAGGGGCAGATCTGTTGACGTCATGATTACAATCCAAGTGTTAGGGTATTGAGGGGTTTCAATATTGCCATTACAATCATGTGAAAATACGGGCTACATCGGATAAATAAAAATATTTTAAAGATTTATACATTATTTTTGTATAATCCATGTTTGATTAATAATTCTCTCTCTCTCTCTCTCTCTCTCTCTCTCTTATTCTCTCTTCTTCTTTCTTTTTAGAAAACTTACCTTGTAGGTTTTTATATATGATTTTTCATAAAATAACTTGTATAAAATATATTGGGTCGTTCAAGAAATAATCATAATCTCGTAATGAAAATTTAAAAGTATTTTTTAATTATGAAGCAAGCAATTATTTCAATTTATGTAATAGCCAATTGAATTGG